TCCACCTGATCTGCCATCTTGTTTGTTCTCTCTGCCTTTGTCTTTTAAGTTGACATTGTATTTCTGGGTTTATCTATGATGATGCTTTTGAAATAGTTCCTTATTTTTAATTATTAAATTTACTCTAGTTATTTTCATTTTAGATAATTTTATTAATTGTTGTAGTTTAATTTTATTGTTATTGGTTGGCCATTAAGTAATGATATCTATTAAGTAATGAGTGTAGCCTAATCAATGTGTTACTAACACATTATATATTCAGCACACTGCTAAGAAATCTCTGTCTGTGATAATTTTCTTTCAAATTAAAATTTTGCTCAAAAAATTTCCTTTTTGTTGTTAAGTGCCATAGACATTTTGCTAGACTTATAATAAAAAGAACAATTAGAAAACTTTCTGAAGCTTCCTGCCTTTGTTTCCTAGAGCTGCTATAAGAAAACACCACAAACTAGATGGCAAATAAGAACAGAAGTATATTGTATTACAAATCTGGAGCTCGGGTGTGGACAGGGGTATACTTTCTCTGATCAAGGGAAACATCTGTTCCTTGTCCCCAGTGATACTGTGGCCTAAACGTTGAGCTGCTAACTATATGGTTGCAGTTCAAACTCATCTGCAGCTCCAGGAAAAAGATGAGGCTGTCTGCTTCCGGGAACATTTATAGTCTCAGAAATTGCATATATATGACCACTATGAGTCAGAATTGATGTGATGGCAGTTGGTTTTTGCTTATGGTTGTTGTTAAGTGCCGTTGACTTGGTTCCGACTCATAGCAACCCTGTATAGGGTTTCTGAGAAGCGGCTGGTGAGCTTGAACTTCCGACCTTTCCATTAAAACAGACCTTGCAGTCCAGCTTATGAACCCACAGTGCCACACAAGGACTCCATTTGCTTATGGTAGTCCCTGGAAATTGTTGGCAGTCCTTGTCTTATAGATGCATCTTCATTTGTTTGTCTTCTGTTTGTGTGTGTCTTTTTGTGACACATCTGTTATGAGTACGCCACTCAGATCAGATTAGGACTCACCTTACTCCTCTACAAAGAGCCCTGGGTTATGAGTTGGGCTGCTAACTGAAAGATAGTAGTTCAAATCTACCAGCTGCTCCATGGGAGAAAGACAAGGCTTTCTATTCCCATAAAGATTTACAGCCTCAAAAACCCTGTACAGGCTCACTGTGAGTCAGAACTGACTCCACGACACACAACCACCACCAGCAGCTTACTCCTATACAACCATATGTTAACTGATCATATCTTAAAGACCCTGTCTTCACACAAGGTCACATTTATATGTACTAGGGCATAGGATTTCAACCTATGTTGAGGGAACACAATTCAATTGTAGATTATCTGTTACTTCTCTGCCCACTCTGCTGTTTTCAGTAAGTTACATATTTGCAGAGTGACCAGCCCAATGTGCATAATTTCAGCCCAGCATGCTAGTGACATACTCCACCTCGGCTTCTGGAATCATGAGGAAAGCGAGCAGAGAGGGCTCTCCCTACACCGTCATCTCAGGACTTACCACAAAGAATGTGCAGGATTTGACAAAAAACATTTAGCCTTTACTTAGCGCTTAAAGACTAAGAAAGAAGAGAAGTGATGCTGCATTCTGGAGATACTTTGCAAATTACTGTTAGAAAGATCAACTTTTCATGTGTGGGTTGGTTGGTTGATTGTACTTACTGAGGGGTGAAAGAAAAATTAATGTGTACTTGAGACCTAGCATGTGCTGGTCACATGATCTCATTTCATCAAAATTCTGTGAGGTAGAAATCATTTTTCCCGTTCTCTGGAATCAGAGACTAATTACCCAAAGTAGCACAACTGAAGTACTGCTCACCTCACATCTTTCTGGCTTCCAAAACTCAAGTTGCCATGGGTCATATACATTCTTGTAGCCCCATAACACCAAACCCTTAGTAAAGTTTAACCTGATTACAGAAAATCTCAAATGATTTTGTTAAAAAAAAAAAATCAGAAGCAAGTTGTTCCCTTCATCATAATACCTCATATTTTCTAAACAGGAAAAGGAAATATAACACTAATACTTACATCTAATGTCTCTGGGTAGTACAAACAGTTTGCATAAATAGGCTGGAGGTTCAAACCCACCCAGTAGCACTAAGTAAGAAGGACCTGGTGATCTGTTTCAGTAAAGATCACAGCCATGGAAGCACTCTAGAGTAGTTTTCTACTCTGTAACACGAAGGGTCAGCATTAGTTGAAATTGTTTTAAAGACAAGGGTTTGATTTTGTTTTTTAAATACTTACCTCTACTTTTGTCTTCCCCAAACTGTAGTTTTGTGTTCTTAAATCTTTTGTGAATGTTCATATAACATTTTATCCCTATATTTCTCAGCATATAGTTAACCAAGTGTGTAAATAATAAAGCTGTAGGATTAACAATGCTTATTTTAACATTTAAATAAATTAGAAGAATCATCTAGCCTTAAAGGATTATAGGAGGTATATTCATTTTATCTGCATTCCCATAGGAAATCTGCCACATTCTAAAACTAAAAATACAATAAGCTACCAAATGAGGACTTCAGAAAAATCAATCGACCTGACAAAGGTAAGAAAGTGTGTTTTTCAAGGTTGTAAATCTAAGACCGACACATTGTCAATGTCCCTATTTGTGTGCTCCTAAAAGTAGAGGGCCTTTTTCTTTGTTTTTCTTTTGCTTTGCTCTTTCTTCCTTGCTTAAACAGATATCATGATATATTTACATATAGTTGTTAAAAAAATAAAACCACCATGCAACTCTGATATATTCCTAGCTCTTATTTTACAGCTCTTTTTTTTGTTAATGTTACATTTAGGATTCCCACAAAAAGGATGTATTATTCACATTTTATACATGACCAATTAAAATTCTGATGAGATTGACAAGCATTACTTGAATGTAAAATGTCAATGTCATTTTTGTTGTTTTCTGTATTTGCATGTATAGACTAAAATAACCTGAAGGAAAATGTCTCATAGTCCCTGTAAATCATAAAGTTCAATAAATATTGAAAATCCATCTCTTCTTTGGTCTTCTTAGGGTGAAAATGGAGAAGCCACACGCCATGCCAGAGAGACAACCAACATGAAAACACAAACAGTTGCATCATATTTTAGAGTAAGATATTTCACTATGTTTTACATTGCCTAGGGATATCCTGTTGTAGCACTGGCGGATCAGCACTGGACTTCAAAACACAGGGTCGACAGTTCAAACCCACCAACTGCTCCTCAGAAACCCTGTACAGGGTTGCTCTGAGTCGGAACCGACTCAATGGCACTTAACAAGAAACAACAGAGATTTTATTCATTCTAATTGACAATTATAGATTAAAAATTTGTACCATACATTGTGCCATTAGCAAAAGAAAAATTTTATTTATTTGTTTTTAACTTTTTTGTGTGAATTGAATAAAAGTTTACAGACAAGATTATCATATCAGTTTTACATTCAACAAATCATACACTTTGTTTCATCTCAATGATTACAATGCCCTCCGTGTAGTAACAGTTATCCTGTTTCCCCACTGTACTTCCTTTTTCCATTCCACCATCCTTCTCATCCCCTCTTCCCTTTGTCTTTAGGTGAATGTTGCCCTTTTGGTTTTGAATGCTTGACCATTCCATGGTAAGCAGACCTTACTAATGTTGTTGTCCTCCCTGTATACCTCCTTACCTACTGGTTGGCTGAAAATTGGGCCACAAGGGTGAATTCTTTTCTAGACATGAAGGTGGTTGAAGGCCATAGTCTCAGGTACCTCCAGTTTCTTTCTAACCAGTAAGGCCAATTTTTAATTTAGAGTTTTATTCCACATTAAGAAAACTTTTATTTGATTGAATTTACTACTAGTGGGATGCGATTACTGTTATATGGATTGTATGAAGAAAAACTTGACATCAGGATTGGAGGAAGACTCATTAGCAGCCTGCAATATGCAGATGATACAATCTTGCTTGCTGAAAACAAAGAGGACTTAGAATATTTACTGATGAAGTTCAAAGTCTTCGGTATGGTTTGCACCTCACTGCAAAGAAAACAAAAATCTTCACCACTGGACCAATAACCATCGACATAAATGGAGAAAAGATTGAAGTTGTCAAAGATTTCATTTTGCTTGAATCAACCATCCGCACTCATGGAAGCAGCAGTAAAGGAATTAAACAACTATTGCATTAGGCAAATCTTACTTATTCAACCTATATGCTGAGCAAATAATCAGAGAAGCTGGATTATATGAAGAAAAACGTGGCATCAAGATTGGAGGAAGACTCATTAACAACCTGTGATATACAGATAATACAACATTGCTTGCTGAAAGTGAAGAGGACTTACACTATTCACTGATGAAGATCAAAGAGCACAGCTTTCGGTATGGATTCCATCTCAATGTCAAGAAAACAAAAGTCCTCACCACTGGACCAATAAACAACATTCTTATCAATGAAGAAAAGATTGAAGAAGTTGTCATGGACTTCATTCTTCTTAGCTCAACTATCAACACTCATGGAAGCAGCAATCAAGAAGTCAAACAACATATTGCATTAGGCAAATCTGCTGCACAAGACCTTTGTAAAGTGTTGAAGAGCAAAGATGTCAGCTTAAAGACTGAAGTGTGCCTGACCCAACCCATGGTATTTTCAATAACCTCAAATGCATGTGAAAGCTGGACAGTGAATAAGGAAGAGACCGTAGAAAAATTGACGCTTTTGAGTTATGGTGTTGGAGGAGAATATTGAAAGCCCCATGGGCTGCCAAAAGAATCAACAGATCTGTATTGGAAGGGTGCTCCTTGGATGCCAGAATGCCCAAACTTCGTCTCTCATACTTCGGACATGTCAGAAGAGACCAGTCTCTGGAGAAGGATATCATGTTTGGTAAGGTCAGAGATATCATGTTTGGTAAGGTCAGAGAAAAAGAGGACGATCCCCAGTGAGATGGATTGGCAAAGTGGTGGCATCAGTGGGCTCAAGCATGGCAACAATTGTGATGTTGGCCCAGTATCAGGCAGTGTTTTGTTCTGTTGTGCACAGGGGTCGCTATGAGTCGGTACCGACTGGATGGCACCTAACAGCAACAACAAAATGTCGAAGAGCAAAGATGTCAGAGTTTTAGGACTAAGGTGTGCCTTATCTAAGCCATATTTTCAATAATCTCATATGCATGTGAAAGTTAGACATTGAATAAGAAAGCCAATAGAAGAATTGATGCATTTAAAATATGGTGTTGGAGGAGAATATTAAAAGTACCATGGACTGTAAAAGAGCAAACAGATCTGTGATGGATGAAGTAGTCAGGATGCTCCTTAGAAGCCATACTGCAGACATATTGTGAGGAAGGACCAATCCCTGGCTAAAGATATCACATTTGGTAAAGTGGAGGGTCAGAGAAGACCATCTCATCAATGGAAGACCCCCAATGAGATAGATTGGCACAATGGCAGTAGCAAGGGGCTAAGGCATAGCAATGATTGTAAGGTTGGCACAGGACTGGGCAGAGTTTTGTTCTGTTTTGCATAGGATCACTATGAGTCAGTGCTGACTCAATGGCACCTAAAAACAATCAACAGCATTACTATTAGTAGTGTTTCTGGTTTGGTGCTGTAGGATAAGCACTAGACTGTTAACTGCAAAGTTGGAAATTCAAACACACCAGCAGCTCCTTGGAAACCCTATACAGGGTGGCTATAAGTTGGAACCAACTCCGTGGCACTTAACAACAACAACATTACTATTAGTAAGATACTATTGTTTCTAAATTTTTGGAGATTTGTTTTGTGGCCTAAGACATGGTCTATTCTGGAGAATGTTCCATGTGCAATGGAAAAGAATGTGTATTGGGTTGAATGCTCTGTACACATCTATGAGGTCCAGTTGGCCAATTGTGTTATATAGTTAATTCTGTGTCTTTGTCAAGTTTCTTTCTGGTTGTTCTATCCATTTTTGAAAGCAGTGTATTAAAATTATTGTAAATTCATCTATTTCTTTCTTCAAATCTATTAGAGTTTGGTTTATATATTTTAGAGCTCTTTCATTGAGAGCATAGATATTTATTATGGTTATGTTATCTTGTGCAATTGTCCCTTTAATCATGAGATAATGTCCATGTCTATCTATTATGCTGGTTTTAGGCTTAAAGTTTACTTTATCAGAGATTAGTACTGCCACTCCTGTTTGTTTTTTATTGCAATTAGCTTGGTATATTTTTTCCATCCTTTGACTTTTAAATCTGTTTTTGTCTCTCTGTGTGAGATGTGTCTCTTGCAGACAGCATATTGAAGGATCTTGCTTTCTTACCCATTCTGC